TAATTAAAATTAACTAATATCAGAATGCTACAGACGGATTTAGTTTGATATGAAATTACTGAAACGGATGATATATAACACGAGAAAAGAAAGCTTTACGTCCCGACAGAGCGATCCTACAACCCGCCATATTAGGGTCAGTAAGAGGATAAGACCCGGCCACGTGCTCATGACAATGACCTATGACTCCTTTGTCTCAAACGAATTTAAACACAACCGTTAAAACTAAACTAATAACGATAACACTGCGAAGATTACAGAGCAGGTAGGTGCCAATATGACAAGGGAGATACCCGAAGGTGAGCGGCACCGATGGCCCGATAGGCCCGCACAACAGCCTGATGTGCGAAAGTTCCGGTCGTGATAACACGATAACGAAAAAGCGTAGAGAAAAACCGTAAACACCGTTATAAAATACGTTTAAACCCCTACAAAATGATATATAATATCACCCGTTACTGGCGGAAGCGGGCCGCAAAAAGTTGCTCAAAGACCGGAAATTTCCGGAAGCCGTAATTCTGAGACGCCTGGACGGATCCGGAAAACTAACATCTTGTTTGATAGCGTACGATGAACCGATTCCAACGGTGTATAACACTTGGTTGATTAATCCTTGGTTTTGCTGATGAGACGATCGGAAACAGGAGCACACGTGAACCCGACAGACCGAACCGGTGAGCCAACTCTATCCTGATTAGATAACACAAAAAGACATTGTTTAAGATATATTAAAACATTGTTGCTTATTTTTATAGATATATAGTTAGTTATCCTTCTATTTAAAAGTGTTGGTATTAGTGTTGCAATGAATAGTATATTTGGCCTCATGCCGAATACCGAATATTCGGTCAAACTATTCAGCTAGATTAATGCACGTATGAAAATTGGCGTGCAAATCTCATTATGGCAAGGACCCTGCTCTCTATTGTCCCACTGTCACTACGCTTTGCCAATCGCGTTAATTCTTGACAGTTGTAGCAAACAGACAAGAGTGTCATGGCATGATGCGATAAATTATGATATCAAATGTGAATAAGAATGAAATGACCTACACGTGTAAAATAACGGAAAAAGAACAGAGAAGGACCGCGAAGTGAAAATGTGAAAATAAATATGAAATTGAGTTGATAACATAATCAAACAAGTCGAAGCTTATTGACGTGAAATTTGCAGCTATCAATGCCAAACAATTGTTGTCATAGACTTCGGAAAGCTAAATGCTTGTAATGAAAGTCACTTAGCGTGCACGGGCGAAAGCCTGGGACTGTTCGGGCTACCAAGCTGTTTCGAATCTGTGAAATCATAACTGTGACATATAGCGATGTCCTATCTGTCTCTTTTCTCCGTTATCACCAGGCTATGAGTCACGTAATTATAAAATGGAAAAACTACGACTGAAAAGTGACAAATCAAAAGTATCGTGAGCGCGTATTATGATGTATACATAGGCATACGTGGACTACAGAAATGGAGGAAAGAGAAAGGAAAGAGCAAAGACGAGTGCTTAAAAAAGGATAGGCAGGGTCAGACCCTCACATGTGTGCGATGATTCTCGAACGAATAGGTGTGTATGTGTGCTTAAAAAGGATAGGCAGGGTCAGAATGACTAATATTATTATTTTTTATTTTTATTTTGTGCATGTTATAAGTTATAAATAAATATAAGCAAACAACACTAACTTGACAACATTAAATCTAAATACCAAAATGATTAATTTACTGTGTTTTTGTTATTTCTTACTCCTGTTTTTAGGTATTCTGTATTTGGCCGAATAGGCTGAATATTGAATAGTAACCGAATATTCGTTACATCACTAGTTAGTATATATAACTTTTACTTATCATGAAATTATATAATTATAGATGTTAATCTACTTATATACCAGCAGAGGTTTAATCTTTCCTGTGGATGTTTACAAACAATTTCAACCTGATTATACTGTAGACCTAAAGCAGACCTTGCTTCAGGTCTTAAACTGTCCATTATATTTTGGAATTTGAAAAAGAACAATGTAAAATTTCAAGCTTCGGAATGAATGACAGTGAAGTTCAAATTATGTTTGATGTTCTTAGAATAACTATTTACAAATTTTAAATCAATATTAGATAGATATTTGTGAATTTAAACGGATGTTATATAAATTTACGTAGGTTTTACATATATGTTTCCTTAATTACAGTATTGAGATTCATTTTCTTGATTGCCATTTTGATCATCATAAAATGTTTGCTGTGTGCTTGAAATCTTCCCACTTTCCTTAAAATTATAGCATTCCCTTCTCCATCTCACTTTGTAAATCTCCAGAGCTAACCGTGTTTTAACATGCTCTGCCTGAATGGTATGCCCTATAAAACTTGGTTGTTCAAAGTTCGGTTTCACAAGTTTTGGAGGCATATATGGACAGAGCGGTGGTTTGTTTCTTCTTTTCTATGTTGTATTTGTGTTTGACATAGAAAAGAAGCTCTTTGACTGAAATATTACTGCATGAATGTAAAGTGATACTATCTTGTCTTTCACAGGATAGTATCACCTTTATCAGCTTTATGTTTGGTCTATCTTAATACATTGTTATTTTTGACATATTTGGCATAAATACTATAAACTACAAATCATTTGATAGTTAGAATCTGATAATTTGTTGACTGGTAATATGAAGATAAAGTTGGCAATAGGTGAAATAATTTGCTACTCTTATAGAAAAATTTTTATTTCTGTTTTATTTGCTCATTTGGCTACTCACTACCCTTGCCTGCACATGTGATACATGTGAATAAGTCTTCAAATATGGTGTAGATCATAAGAAGTTGCAATATGATAAAAAGGAGACTTTTTTTGAGACATATGGACCCAGAGGCTCATCATTTCAAAGCGAAAATTGATAAAAAGATTAGTCAGTAGCTAAGCAATAAAAGCAAAAATTTTAAATTAGCTTTTCCTGCCATCTGTAGTTTAAATCCTAACTTGCTATCTCTGATAGTAATCTGTTATTCTTTGTGGAAACATTATATAAATTGATTGTTTTATAATAACTTATATTTTACAGATGAATAAATTCAGATTGGAGAGATTAAAATTTTGATCCTGTATTTATTGTAAACTTCAATGGAATTATTAATCTAATGAATTTCTTATGCACGTAATTACTGTAATTTCACATGGATAACTCAGAGGTTATCTGTGTTTAAGAGACAATTTGAAAGAAGTGTGGGTTATATGTGATTTTTAATTACAGTAATGAACTCATATGAACCTTTATCTTTGTTTAAAGTCAGTAAGAGCTTATTAAATCTACATACACAAAAGCCAAGAATCCAGCAAAAAATTTCACTTATGCAAACATTTTGCTGAATTCTTGGTTTTTGTGTGTGCTGATTAAGTACAGTTTAACCAACATTTTGTTGTCATGTATTACAGTAAGAGAATTTTTAGAAAATGTCAAAGAAGGACATGCTGGATCCTTTTCTAACAACTGCACCTTGACAACCATATAAGTTTGACCTTGTGACTGTTGTCACACAATTTAATAGAAAATATTCAATTAAAGCAGATTGCCATCTAAAACTAAAAAAAAAAAATAATAATCCTTTGTGTGCCACAAACAATCTTCTGCTATCGTGATTTTTCCAAAACAACCAAACATATACATATACATATACATATAGCTCTCTTTTAGTTCTCTCTCATTAATTTTTTTATGTTCAATCCATACTTGAATTGATATTATTAGATACTTCTGTTTGAATTTGTATCTTGAAACCTGATAAACTTCCTGTAATCTCCTATGTAAAGACAGTTTCAGAGGACTTTGATAGTCAATATATGATGCAATTGTATTTTCCGAACATAAAATTTAGTATATTAGCTTCATGTTAGGATACAACAGATATTGTGATGGATACTAAGTAGGTACAAAACAGATTCCTGATGTTTAAAAGCACTTTGGAAAAGTTTATATGTGGAAAAAAATGTGTTTCATTATATCTATGTATTGAGAAGACCTTAAAGAACAAATACATGAGCTACCAAAGTTTTACATTCAGGCATCAATAAATAATCATAAATATATGCTGCTTGGGTACATTAACCTTTCATTTACTAAGTTATATTAAAGGTTAATGTTTGAAATCTTCTAAATTGCTCACCAAGTGTCATGCTTTCAATGACTGCTGTGAAGGTGTAGGGTATATGGTAGTTTGGGTACACAGAAATTTTATTTCCATTCAAGCATATTGACTATGCAGGTTATTCATGTGAAATATGATATTTTGAGTAGAAAATATTTCTATTTAAATAAATTTATATTAAATACTAATATTCTTAATATATCCTTAGAAAGATATATTACTCTGTTTTATAATTTTTGCTATAATTTTTATTAAAACTTTTATATATTAGTTGTTATTGAATTGAATAAATTTCAAATCTTAATCAGTTTATTTAGTGTTAAAGTAAAACCTTGATTTAATGGACAAAATTTCTGGTCTATATGCCATATGTGAAAATTAACACCCTTTTAATTTTAAAATGCTAAATTAAGAAATTATTATTTTTTTCAAATCCAAGGGTCTCTGCTCATAATGTGTATTTTCCAAAAATGTTTGTTTATTTATTTCAATTTAGATTGTATACTTGTTTAGTACAATCTCAGAACTATGGTGAATACTTAACCATTAATGCATATAGAAAACTTTTATTAGAAATTAAATTTCTCATGCATACTTAATTTTAATTACACAAACATATTCATATAAGTAAAACAGATAAAATAATAAATTTGTCAATTTTTTAACACATGCATTCAGAAAACCTACTTTATTATGTTATGGATTTTCAGCTTTAACATACACCCCTCATCCAAATTAGTCCATTAAATTGAGATTTTACTATATGTAAAAACTATTTACTTGATATGATTAAAATGAATTTTATATAAGTTTTATGTTTTATACATAAAATTTTGAAGTGACTTTTCACATTGGATTAATTTATTTTATTCTAGAGAGTACATCCAACATTATTAGAAAAAGCAAGAAACAAGAGAACCAGAGTAGGTCTAAGAAAATGGCCAGATGTTTCAATATCTTCCCAGGATAATGTGCCTTTATATTTAACTGGAAACAGTTCAAATGTTTCACAGAATGAGGTTTGAATTTTGTATTAATTTGTTTCATTATTAATAACATAAAATTGCTTTAACATAAATTAAATAAATCTAGTTGATTTTCTGATTAAAGACTAGCAAAAATGATTATTTTCATTTTTTTTTGCTCATTAAAAAGTTCATCTTTTAAAGATTAGGTAGAGATGTAATAACAAGCTACTTTGACATTTCACTGATAGATATTTTTTCTAAAAGTGATGTGTGAGTGTAAGAACTTTTTAAGATACTAATGTAAATATTTAAAATTATTTGTTATAGTTTGTAGTATATGTTACTTTATAGCTCAATTTTAGTTCAGAACAGTAATGGAAGTAGTAGTAGTAGGTTGTTGAATTCTGAAGTTTGCTCTGACTACATTTAACAAGATGTCCTATTTTGTTTATATTGTTATTTAATTCAACTACTTTTATCTTGAAGTAGCTTTTATAAAGAATTATGATTTAATATGTGTGTCTAAAGTTAAATTCATAAATCAGCTACTTTGATACTCTATGTTGGTATTGCACTATAAATCAGTTCTATGAATGGATAAATCTGATCTTATACTGTATATTTTAATTTCTAAGATGTTATAAATAAATAAGAACTGCATCATTTTTTGTATATAATTTGTCACCTATTGAATCGATAATATAGATGAGATTCAGTTCCAGATCTTTCTTGAGAGTGCCCATAGTATGGATGGCACATTTGGCCAGGAGTATCATAATCATAAGTCTCTATATTTAGTTGTTTAAGTTTGGTAAGGCGATGGGAAAGCCATTAGAAGCAATTTGTGTGCTGGAAAACTGTGGAGTATGGTTAAAAAACTGGGTGTATTGGGCCTGGCTGACTCAGTCTTCAAAAGCATCACTGAGGATTGGCTGTGTACTGTATATCAGATCACCTGCAGCAAAGCTAGTTCAGAGCTGCTTGGAACAGGATGGTGAAGAGACTCCACCTCACTTATATCTTACTTGACTCTCTGTGGTGATTAGTGAGAGAAGTTTCTCTCTTGATAGAGGTTCTGTTAATTCACTTATACATGGCAGGGATTCCTGTTTTCTCACTGTCTGACAGACTTGCTGACAGCAAGAAAAGAGAAGAGTAGCGATGAGGAATTCATGGCTCTTCTGCAGATATTAACGAAAGGTGAGGCAAGAACTATATGTTGCTTTCTCAATTTCATCAACTGAACAGATAATGTTGGTAGATGCCTTTGCTTCTCAGGTCCTAAATTGGCAAGGTATATCTGTCATACCAGGCACAGCATATTTTTCCATGTCAGCACAGCATATTTAGGGGTTATGGTTCTCCTTTTTTTGGTTTGTTCCAGGTTCATACAGCAATGTCTACAACTTCAGTGCACTTGGAAAGTAAGACAAACAAGTCATAATCTTTAACAAGAACAGGATTTACCTACAAGCTGCAATCTAAGGCCTCAGGATTTTAGACACTCCATAACTTTTGCACTTCCTATTTTTGGTTTCATAGACTTTGGATGTTAGATAAAATTTAGAGGTACCAAAATATGATTTTACCATAATAGCATCAGTGTTATTTAGTCATTTCACTATCATGCATGCTTCTTTTATTTATTTGTTTTACAAATTGGTACCTGCTACCAAATGGCAAATATTGGAATTAATTTGCATTTATTTTTGTATAATAGTGACCAGGTTCTCAGGAAAGATTGTTTTCAAGATTAAAATGAATTAAACAGCATGTCTCAATAGACGTTAATTTTTCTATTTTATATTTAGAAAGTAACAAGTTAAGAAAATTGTCTTTTGATGATATAATTAATGAAAAATGGAAAGCTAGAAATGCCGGCAATTTTAAATATTATACTGTGAACAAGTAATGAGTAAAGTGATTCAAACATTACTTAAGAAAATAACTGCAGGCTGATAACATTTGCTTATTATTAACCTGCATATTTATAGGATGATGCAAACACAGATTAAAAATGCCTATTTTTCTGAATATAATAATAACTATATCCAAAATTCTGATTAAGCAACTATAAGTGTACTTTTATTAATGTATTTTAACTTGTACAGTTTTGGACATTAAATCTGATAACAATATCTATGATTAAAATAAGCAGATTCCACTATCTTTGTAATAATGTATTTAACCTTGAATAAATTTCTTTGTAGAATAATATGAAATACTAATAAAGAATATTAGAATTTAAATCTGTTAAAACCAAACAAAATATTTTTTGATTTTAATCAGTTATATTGATAAAGTTTTGTAATTTGGTGAAATCATTTTTCATAGAAGAAGAAAAAATTAAACAGTTGCTCAAAATGATATTTAACTATTATTATTAAAATAAGTATTTAATGTTATGTTTATGCACATAAAAAATTTTCATGATATAGCTTAAATTAGACCTTTAAGATAAGTTATTTTAATTTTTCTCTCATATTAGATAGTCTGTTCATATTGCTTTTAATGCAACACCTTTGCATAGAATATTACATTTATTTTGTAACAGTTTAGGATGAACCATATAAGTTGAGACATCAGCATATCCCAGAAATAAAACATCTAAGACAAAAATGTTGTAAACAACAGTTGTTTGATTGTAAAAGAGAAAGGAAACCACATTATTGATTTTGAATTTGGTGGACATCTTCAAGGTTAGTTGAAGATCACCTTTTAAATAACAAGCACTACTGTTTTTAATGGCATCTTACTTAATGTGAAAAGAAAAAAGAAATCAAATCACCTTTGTCAGAAACACTTTTCCTTTTTTTTTTTTACATGAAGTAAGATGCCATTAAAAACAATTGTGCTTCTTATTTACAAGGTGAGTTTCAACTAACCTTGAAGATGTCCACCAAATTAAAATTCAGTAATATGATTTCTTTTCCCTTTCACAACCAAACAATTATCATTTACAACATTTTTGTCTTGAATGTTTTGTTTCTGGGATATTCCAGTAGCTCAACATAAATGTTTATCTGTATATGTGTATATAAATGTATATGTGAACCTCTGTATATGAAATATTCATTTCACTCTATTATCTGAATTATTTAATTTATTTACCATAGATGTTTTTCATTTATTGTTGCTTTGTTTTGAAAAGTTCACTAGATGTTTTGAATTTTTCTTTCTTTTAACTCAACAACCTAATGTTTGTCTTATTCAGAACTGTAAAAGATGTAATTTTTCTTGACCAAACTATGTATTTAAATATAAACACTAAATGGAATTGTTCATATACTTTATTTTAAAAAATAAATTTAATAGAATAACATGCATTGTATGTGGTTCAAATATTTCAAAACCATTGTGAATTTTGTTTAGTTTTAAAATTAAATAAATATAAATGATCTAAATATTAAAATTATTATACCATAACGTAACCTACATGACCATTAATCATTCTTTGAGGCCTGATCATAACCTAGTTAAAAGTTTTATAGATTTGGTTATTTATTTTGTATAAAACCATGTTGTTTTTATTATGTTAGACATATTAATATATATATATAATGTATATATTATGTAAAACAAGTTTACATGCTAGTATTGTAAGTGCTTATTAAAATATTACATGCTAGCAGTCGATATCATGTCAAACAATGCAGCTATCTGATAGAGATTAGATTCAAAAGAAATAAAAATATTGAAAAAGATGCAAATTATTGTAATGGTATATTTTTCCATATTAATAATAAAGATATGATAGATTTTTGTACCCAATTTTAACTGTATTTAACTGTATATCTAAGGCATAATTTTATCAGTATCCTTTCTATTTAAAAATAGAACTATTTTAAAATTAATTTCATTAATTAGATTATCATGTGTCATGACATTAAATTACAATAAAATCTTCAGATATTTATTGTTTAACAGTTATAATATATTAAAATTTGATGAAAAATCTAATGTAGATTTGTATTTTTTTTAAATATCTTAATATGATTTATTTATTTAATAAAGTTAAGCTAGTTATATACAAACATCTCAAAACCCAATATATTAGTAGTAAGCCAATGAATACTGGATTAAATTGGACTACTTTTCCACAATTATTTTAAATTAATTTCTAAATAATTTGTGACTAGAGGGAAGCATTAGGTGCTAACTCTTATTAATTAATTTAAATTTAATAATTATAATTAAAGTAAATAATTTAGAATAATGAAAATGATTTAAAATATATCATGACATTTTTTTTGAACTTTTTCTGAATGTATTCTGTTCAACTTGACATTTGCTTTGATATATTTGATGATATTTTTGATGGCCATTTTGATGTTAATCTTTATTGAATTAATATTTTTGGATGGTTGCCATAAGATGTCTCCAAAGTGAAGAGAAATGGATCTGTTGAACTGAGGAATATTTTCAAAATTTTTTGCAAGCAACATTCTGATGAAATTCCATCCTTAAAAGACATTCCAATCTGGAAAGGTAAATGATTTGAAAGATTGATAAAACAAAATGCACAAAGAAACTATTCATGATATATTAACATATTTAACTTTTTTTTTCTTTTGGTTAGCTAGTGATACTTCAGAATCAGCTTACAACTGTTTTGTTAGTATCTTGTTTTTCCAGTGTACAAAACAAAAATAAAAATTTCAATTTTTAAAATTATGTAATTTAATAATTTTATCATCTGGTATATAAATTAATAATTGCTTTTAGCATTTTTATTGAAAAAACTTTTCAAATAAATCATACAAAACTTTTAGTTGAAATTCCAAAATTTAACAAATTTGAAAATTAATTCTTTGTTACAAATTTTTAAAATATACAATAAAATCTAAAGAATAATTTTTTAAACATCTCTTAATATTCAATTGTTAATCTAAAAATTGTTTTAAGTGATAACATGTTCAGATAATTTATTATTATTTAGATGCTCACTGCATAAAAATTATCAAAATTTCTGAAATATTCATGTTTTAAAATTTAAATAATAGTGAATCTTTCTGAGGAATTAAGTAATGTTTAGGAAGGTAATTATTATG